GCGCGTGGCCTTCGTGATGATCGGCGCGGCGTGGACGCTGTCGGTGCTCATCTCCTTCATCCCGGTGCAGCTGGACTGGCACAAGGCGGCGGCGCGCAGCGGCGGCGGCGGTGGGAACGCGGGAGACTGCGACTCCAGCCTGAACCGGGAGTACGCCATCTCCTCGTCGCTCATCAGCTTCTACATCCCCGTGGCCATCATGATCGTCACCTACACGCGCATCTACCGCATCGCGCAGATCCAGATCAGGAGGATCGCCTCGCTGGAGCGCGCCGCCGAGCACGCGCAGAGCTGCCGGTCGAACCGCCTGGCGTGCCAGCACCACAGCAGCCTGAAGAGCTCCATCAGCCGCGAGACCAAAGTGCTGAAGACCCTGTCGGTGATCATGGGCGTGTTCGTGTGCTGCTGGCTGCCGTTCTTCGTGCTCAACTGCGTGGTTCCGTTCTGCCACGACAAGCCGTCCGCGGGTCTGCCCTGCGTCAGCGACACCACCTTCGACGTGTTCGTGTGGTTCGGCTGGACCAACTCTTCGCTCAACCCCGTCATCTACGCCTTCAACGCGGAGTTCCGCAAGGGCTTCTCCAGCCTGCTGGGCTGCCGGGGCCGCTGCCGGACGCCGGTGGAGACGGTCAACATCAGCAACGAGCTCGTGTCCTACAACCAGGACACGCTGCTCCACAAGGAGATCGTGAGCGCGTACGTCAACATCATCCCGAACGTGGTGGACGACACGTTCGACCGGATCTCGCAGCTGTCGCGCGAAGACGAGGACGCGTGCACGGACTCGGTGTGTGAGCTGGAGTGTGACGCGGAGCCCCGCGCGCCCTTCACGGCCAACGGGATCCACTGAGCGCCGGACGGACACCCGTTGCTGTTTCTGCCGTGAGTGTGTGAGTGTGTGTGTGTGTGTGTGTGTGTGTGTGTGTTTCTGCTAAACTCTGCACTGATTCTCCACACTGAGGAAAGATCAGATCTGGGAGACAGAAAGCTCCTCGTTGTTCAGAGAGGATGATGATATTGCTGGAGGTGTAACAGCACACAGGAGGCAACATCTGAAGAAGATCAAGTCCTCTCAGCACACACTCCTGTCTGAGCAACACTGTGCTGATCCTCTTCAAATGCTGACTACTGCGCATACGCTGCTTGTCTTTGTCTAATTTCCAGTCCAAATGTCTGAACATTCTAGATGAAGCATGCTCTAGGCAAGCAGACCAGCATGTCTTGTGTTCATATGTAATGGCCACAGGGAAATGTTTTTTCCTTAAAACAACTTCATTATCTTGCTTTTCCTTTTGACATGATTTTGCTTCCCCCATTGGCAGATCAAGTTGCTTGTTTTAAGGAAAGCCCATTTCAGTGTGGCATATTATTTATTAAAACAACACATGCTGTTCTGCTTGCCAAAAATGCTTCTTGATGTAAGAATGTTTGGATATTTGGACTGGAAACAAGACAGAAAATACAAGAAATGAAAGCATTTTTGCAGTGCTGGGCATGAATGTGTTCACCCCTCACAGATCCGCTTTTATATTCATATTTTCTGAGAAATACTAACTGAGAAATGGATAAAAATGTTCATTTTCATAAAGGGGTGTACTCATTCATGCTGTGTATGTGTGTGTGTGTATATGTGTGTGTGTGTGTGTGTGTGTATTGCCATGTAAAGCTGTCTGTTGTAGGCAGTATGGTGTAACTCTCAGGCCGGCAGATGATCAGCGCTGAGCTCTCGGGTCTGGGTGTTTATGAATGTGCTGTGTTTAGCTCAGCAGACTCTCACATCTGTTGATTCAGATCAGTGTAATTCTGCATTCAGCACATTCGTCATCTCCAACACCTGAAAACTCATTTAGCGCAGAAGCACAAGACACTCACAAACAAGTTAAAGTTTACAATTAACAGCACAGAACTGACGGACACGCAAACATGACAGTGCGCAGGAGACGGTAGAGTAAAACACGCTCCGGTTTCATTAAGACTTCTGAATGTTTGATGTTTAGTTGTGTCTAACTTATGATTTTAACTGTGCTGAGATCAGTGGGGTGGTGCTACACCTGCAGTCATCCTCTGCGCAGATCTTCTGGTTTCATGTGTGTGTAAATGTTTCTGGATTTGGTCATTTGTGTGCTTGATCCTGGTAAACGCAGCACGTCTGAAGGGTGTATCAGCAGAGTTTGCAGTGTCACACAAACACACACACACACACACACACACACACACACACACACACACACACACACACACACACACACACACACACACACACACACACACACTCTGCAGAGTGAGCATATGGCAGAAACAGTGCGGGATCCGCACACAGCTGCGCTCTTCATCATCCTCATCCTCATTGTCCTGCTGGAGAGATTCCACTGAAGAGAGGCCTTACTCCGCCGGGACTCATCGGCCTTACACTGAGTGCAATATCCTGAACACTGACCGACACTGACCAACTCTGACCACCATTGACCAACTGTACTGCCAGTGGTCATCGCCAGCGCAATTAACCATCATTACTGCTATTGACCATCACTATCGCTATTGACCATCACTACCACGACTGACCATTGCTACCATCATTAACTGTCATTACCACTATTGACCAAAACTACCCTCATGGACTATTACTATCACCACTGAACATCACTACCGCCATTGACTATCACTACCCTCAATGACCATCACTTCTACCATTGACCATCACTAACGCCACTTAAAATCACTACCACCATTGACTATTACTAACCCCATTGACCGTCACTATCGCCACTGAACATCACTACCGCCATTGACCATCACTATCGCCACTGAACATCACTACCGCCACTGAACATAATTACCGCCATTGACTATTACTATGCCATTGACCATCACTATCGCCACTGATCATCACTACCGCCACTGAACATAATTACCGCCATTGACTATTACTATGCCATTGACCATCACTATCGCCACTGAACATCACTACCGCCATTGACCATCACTATCGCCACTGAACATCACTACCGCCACTGAACATAATTACCGCCATTGACTATTACTATGCCATTGACCATCACTACCACAATTGAACATCACTACCGCCATTGACAATTACTACCCCCTTTGACCGTCACTATCGCCACTGACCATCACTACCGCCACTGAACATCACAACCGACATTGACTATTTCTATGCCATTGACAATCACTACCACAATTGAACATCACTACCGCCATTGACCATCATTACCACCATTGACCATTACTACTGCCACTGGCTACCACTAGTGCCATTTACCAACTTTACTAACAGTGGCCATCACTACCGCAATTAACCGTCATTATGGCTATTGACCAAAACTACTATTATTGACCATCACTACCGCCATTGATCAACATCGACCACCAACACCACTGATACTGACCAACACAACCGCCAATGACTGTCACTACCGCCACTGACCATTACTTCTGCCATTGACCATCACTACCAACACTATCACTACCACGATTGACCATCACTACTTCCAATGACTACCATTGACAATCACTTCCACCCTTGACCAACAGTGCTGCTGTTAACCGTCACTACTACCATCGACCAGCACTGAACGCCACTGACCGCTGCTCCACACGCCAAAAGACGGACGGAGCATCTGCGCAGGCGCGGGTCTCCAGTCTCCACACGAGCTAAGAACTCTTTTCTAAAGTGTTTATTTATTTTATTCCTCTACAGAGCTAATATATGGAGTGTTTCTGTTTCCATCAATGACCCTAGAGGAGGGTTACACATACACACACACGGGGAAAATGTGTTCCTCCACTGTGTGTGTGTGTGTGTGTGTGTGTGTGTGTGTCTTGTTTCCAGCACAAACGCACAGAGAGAGCTGCAGAAGGAAGGAGATTATGCTGTAAATGTCTGCTGATTGGGTCAGAGAAATGATCATCTTCTCTTTAATGTGTGTGTTTCTGCTCTGCTGTTCCTCTGCTTCTGTGTGTGTGTGTGTGTGTGTGCTGGAAACGCAGCAGCTGTAGTGTCGTGATGTGGTGTTTCTGCTCTCACATCTGTTAGCCAGCACATGTCTGATGTCGTGACGCTTGGTTGCGTTTCATTACTGTAATGTTTATTGTTTACAAAAGCGAAGCCTGTAGATTAACCGTAACCAAGCACCTCCTCAACCCAACCAAGAAGCCACTCACTGTGTGTGTGTGAGAGAGTGTGTGAGTGTGTGTGTGAGTGAGTGTTTTCTCAAACAAACAGATGAATGTACTCTACCTGTCATGTGCACAGATGTTTTTAATAAAATGACTATTAAAGTGTCATATTTTGGTTATTCAGTGGTTCAGCAGTGTGTGTGTGTGTGTGTGTTTTGTATCTTAATTTATTCTATGGGTTTGCTGAATGCTGCACTCTGATTGGCTGCTGCTCACTCTCAGGTGTTTGGTCATTGTCAGATAAAGGCACAGCTAAAGTAGTTCCGGCAGGTTTATCACTCCGCTGAATGATTAGAGTTATTTCACACCTACAACAGTCAGAAATCACAGCAGAAGGAGGAGGAGGACACACACCTGACTAACACACAGAGATTCGTCTAACTGAGCTCAGATCAGCTGTGTGTTTGATCATCAGCTGATCAATACTCCAGCAGACGCTCCGTCACTGATCTGATCTCAGGTATCAGCAGTGTATCGACCTTCAGCTGCGCCACATTCAGCACAATATGAGTGTGTGTGTGTGTGTGTGTGTGATATTACAGCCTCCAGAACACACAGATATACTGTCTATGTGTGTGGGTAATGACCCAGAAGCCGATCTCTGTTAGTGAGTGTGTATGTTTAGTGTCTAAGAGTGTTAAGTGTCTAAAAGTGTGTGTTTAGTGTCTCTCTAAGTGTGTGTGTGTTTAGTGTCTAAGTGTGTGTGTTTAGTGTCTAAGTGTGTGTGTTTAGTGTCTCTCTGACTGTGTGTGTGTGTTTAGTGTCTGTTTGGGTGTGTGTTTAGGTCCCTACAGTGTTAGGAACACACGGTACACACACACCCCCTCAGTGTGTTTTCTGTGAACAGGTGTGTTCAGAGTAAAAGCTTGTGTTCTCCTGTGGTGTCGGTGCGCAGTGGAGTGATTTGGTTAAAGAGCGGAGTAGATGAAGTGATGATTGAGCTGAGTGCGGTGTGCTCATCAGTGTGTG